CGTCGCCCACGCACTCGGTGCTGCTGCGGCTGCTGCTCCTGCTCCTGGTGGGGCCGCTCGCGCTGCTCCTGCCGGCGCCGACGTCGGTGCTCGATGGCAGCTCGCGACCTGCAACACGTTCGCACGTGGGGGTTACGAATTGAGCCGAAGCACGAGAAGGAAGCACAGTCTATTTGCGAAAGTGAGAAAGGAATCAACACTAACTTGTGCAGAAGTTACATGTAACATTCGTCTTCATATATACCACAGCAAAAGTTTGCTTTCTAAATCCGTCTCCCGTTGCAATCAATTTTAGACAATAATCCCAATTCGAACTTTTCATTTCAACAGCCGCTCCTTTAATTTATTAGTTTGTTCAATTTTAATTCAATAGTTCGTCGCATATCATATTTTTTATTTACAAAGTAAATTATATATCAAATATAAAAATAATTGAATTTTTCGATATTTTAATCTTCACATTATAGCAAGATTTGAACGTGTATTCGAATCACTGACGTGAAGCTACAAAATTGCATTTTTAAGGGTACGTGCACAAATTTATAAAAAAAATATAACACGTCTTCAGTGAATACTGACATTTTTTATTTGCAGTTTGCACTGAAAGTACATTAGTACAAATACCAGAGACCCCCCTCTACACACACACGCCCACATACATACCAAAAAATAAGAACTTTTATTTTGCATTGATTCGCTTCCATCTCGTACCCTTTTCGTCCAGTTGTGGACCCCCACCCTACAAAATTTTGGGTCTCTCAAGTGGCTCCACAAATACTCGCAAGGCATTTCCCCCAGATAAATGAATAAAACATACATTTGATGACTCAGGATACAGGCGTATCTTGGAACACGTGTGCCAATTTCAAGCTGGGCTCAAGAACAGGGAGAAACTATAAACCCAAATGGGCAAGAAATATAGCTGCACAGTGGCCTTAAATATTGTATTATTATCGTTCTCTTTGAATAGCGTCCAAAGCGAATCTAAATATTAAAGTATCATCTAAGGAGCCGAGTCTATGAAAAATTGCATTAGACACAATTTCCTACATTAGGTCATGCTCAATCGGGAACAACTAAAACCACTATCAGATTGCAATTGAAATTTCACCTCACCACTGCCGCAATGTAGGCTGCCCCCTGCGAGATATTCCCAGCGCGGGTTCCTAACTCACTACGTACTTCGAAAATATCCTCCAAATCCCTGTAAAGTAATCAACTGATTCTTAAGAGCAATGGACTAAATTATGCCTTTCAAAGGCGAGTTTGTAATACAAATAGCATTTCACATTACAAAATATTTTTTGTTCCCAAATATATGTGGATCGCACAGAGCTTTTACAATACGAGAATCGCATTTCCTATGAAATTCAAATGCTAACAGAAATCTTGATAGATTCCTTGTAAAAGATCAAAAGTATTTTACGGCACGTCAGAACACATGAGATCATCTATCACAAAACAGACTGCAACTCATCAAGAAACCAGTACGATCAGCCGCACAATAGCGGTCCCTCAAAGGTCATCCACCCAAAGCACATTATAAAGTTCGCTGGCTGCTTATCTCCGGCTCAATAGGAAGCAACAAGATTTGTGACGCCTGCATTTCGAGAACAACCGGGGCAACAAAAAAAAAAAAAAATAACAAAACAACGAAGTCTTCTCGAGTCTCGTGCGGGAGTTAGGGAGCAGTCACCCGTGAATATACCGCTGTTTCCTTCTGACAGTTTTTCATATTTCACTCTCCTTTTTGTCGCATGCGCGGAGAAAAACCGAGAGCGACGCGCACTTAAGATTTCCCCGAGATTGTCGCCCTCCCTCGCCCCCGGACGAAAACGACTCCAGGAAGTGAACCAGCTGTGGTTCGACCGGAATCGCAGCTAAGTGGGGCAAACATGAATGCCAGAGAATGCGAGGTTCAACTCCTTATATGGCATTAAACACATTTTCTTGTTCAAATTTAATGAAACATGTTTCGAGCATTAATCGTTCCTGAGTTGCTTACGATATCTCTATTAAGCCTAAATTGACGGTGTTTTGGTAAAGAGAGTTAAATGCTAAAAGGCAGTTTGCAAAAAGTGTTGTTTGAACATTTTAAATAAGATAATATTTCAAAAATATTTAAGTCCCTACGTTTTAATTGTAGATTTGTGGTGTAAATTATAGATCTCTAAGGAAAAAATCTCCTTCACAAAAAAGATTTAAAAGCAAGAGAAAGAAAACACTTCAAGAAAAAGCTTTACCAGAATACCACAGAATTACTCTGCATATTATACCATGATATATTTAATTAACAGTGTTAAAGGTGCCTAGATCGCCAATAAATCTGTAGATTTATATATTAGATTATAACTAGTAGCGGTACCATGTGATCATTTACCAACATTAAAATATTGGGTGCAGTGCTTTCGTGAATGCCAATTCGAATTAGCCAAATCTTTTCAATAATTGCCTTTACTAGAAGCGGGAATTGACTAACTAGATCTAACAATAGTGTTACTAAAAAGCATTTCTAATCCAATCACTGTTTTACATTGCCTCTATCTAAGTGTAATCTTCTGCTGTATACTCTTCATTGGAACAACAGTTCTTTTCTGAGTTGTTCATTTACTGGAGTTTAACAAGTGCCTGTAAAAGAAACCTACGTGTCTAATAGTTTGATAGTGGCAATAAATATTTTTCAGTTTGCGGGTCTGTTTCAGCTGATTGCAGATTTCGCTTCGAAAACTTGCTTTAATTTGTTCACATTCCTAACCACCAGTGCCTCATGTTTATCAGTAATAAAGGAAGCACTAAAAAAAACTGGGATTCCAAAAGGAATCGAAAAAGACACCCATGAATCCTACCATATATTATTAATTGCACCAGTTTATTTATTTACGCCTACACACCTGTATGAGCGTCCTCCAATATGTTAAGGTATGTGGGGAATATTGTAGAGAACTCCCCGGTATTCTAAACCTTATCAATTGCATCAATTGCATCCCTTCTCCAAGAAATTTGGTCCTGGTGAGGTCCATGCAAATCAAAAGTTATTTTGGGAACGTATACAGTTCTCTTCCGACTGCAAATCATACTTATTTATTCATGTCATTTGTTTCTTTTCCAAATACATCTCTTTTTAATAATTCCACACGCGACAGCAAATAAATAGACTGGAGATATTGTCAAATGAAACAACACTTAATAAAATGAAAACGTGTTGAGGGATATTCTCCTTAGAAGCAGAAAGTTCTTATATCTAACGAAGGTAACCTACTCGGAACCGAGTCATTAGCGGTGATCTGTTCCGACGTTCAACACGGCGCCACCGGAAGTGAACAATGAAACAAACGAACCCCAACAGCCGGTTATTACCCCGCCTCCTCCCCATCTCCTAGAGTTGCGCCATCGAAGGATACGTGAGCGATCTCCTGTTTACAAGAGGCCAGGCGTTAACTCGACTGCTCCGGGGCTGGTAATTATCCACGCCGTCTCAATACGTGTTGACGCCGCTCAACTGGGCAAACAAAAAAACACGTTGCGCCGTTGCATAAGCCCGCCGGCGCCCGCGGCGGAGGAAAGGCGGGGCACTAGGAGTACGAGCGGCAAAAGGCGGACAGAAATATCGACGGTGACAAAATAAAACATTGTATCTCAACACTTATATTACTGCCTTTTCAAATTTTGGGCAGCTGTCGCATTTCAGTGAAACGGGTAGTGCTGACTACGAAATAAGAATTTTCAATTACCAATCTGCATTTAGTTGTCCGCCAAATGAAAGAGAAACACATTCCACACAGAGCGAATGGATATAGTAACTCCGTGGATACAATTACTCCAACGAAACATGGGACCGTCGAGCTCTTCCCTCAATAAAAATAAATTTGCAACAGCGTCGAACACTGAGATCCTCCAATAGAGTCACGACAGAAGCAGATCTTCGGAACCACCTAAGCACCAGAGTGGGACGAAGGCACTGCCTAGGAGACAAATCAATGCGGCCGGCTGCTATGATCGGTCGTTTACAGAGATCCTCGCGGTGATGGTCTAACGGTTAGCATACCGGGCTGTTATACCCAAGTTGGGTTCAAACCCGATCGAAGTGGTGGATTTTTAAGGGTGAAAAAATCCTTCGTACGCCTTCCTTCAGCGGGGAGGTAAAGCAGGCTGGCCCACGTTAATAGATTTACTTGCATATAAAAGACCCTCAAGCCTAAATGACGCCTCTGAGCTAAATTCAAATCACCTGTTTCTCGTCCAAGAAATACATCCTTTCTCTGCCAGTAGGTGAAAGGAGCGTAGCAAAATTTGCGTGGTCAGTCGGAAGAGCAGGCCTCATGGCCTGAGTCTCGCCACGTAAAATAAGGCATTAATTCAATCCAATGCTCCGATCCATTCCAGCGGATCCCCGAACAAAATCTTCAATGGGCTACGGGCGGCGCGCTTTCCTTTCTTCTCTTCATTTAATCTGGAATTTACCAGATTTAGTTTATTTACCAGATTTGGTTTCATTTGCTGGGACTTAAAAATGGATCCACGAATTATCTGTAATTCGTTCGAGAAGTTCTATGACATACAAGGGTGCACATGCTTGTCAAGAAACGTACATGAAATGTTGACCCTAGCAACGTTGATTAAAAAAGCATAACAAACTAGAATAAAAGTAGTAAATACTTTTTGTAAGTAAGAAAGACGTTACGAGAGAAAAATCTCTCTTTTGTATTGACATAAACAATAACTGTAAAATGTGGTGAATATCTACATCTGCAGTACGACTTTGTAAAGCTTCCCAGAAGTTGGTATGAAACAATGCCTCCCTTCAATTTACTATATACGTCAATAACTGTCCGATTGTTTACAAAATGCTCCACGATTTGCGATCCTTATACACAAGGACGGACCAAAAAAATATGGAAATAAATCGAACATTAAGCGCTTGACGTGCTTGAATCTTAAAAATTTAACAGTTTGGAAGACAAAAATGAAAAAGAAAGCAATATTGTCCGCTTTCTGCGTGTTTCCAACCACTGTGGGGCGGG